TGGCTGCTGAAATGTAAGCAAGCTACCTTAAACTCCTGCTGGCCCTGTAACTGCAGCTGTTCCTTTCTCACCATCTTCTCCCCCTGGAGCTCTGTCAGATACCATGAGAAAAGCACCCAGCATAATGAAGTCACTTTTAGACAGTTGTACTAACTACATGTCTGTTATAGCATGCCAGTGACAACATTCCTGAAGACTCCTTTACTATTGCTGTGCTGTACTAATAGAGAGACATCTGGGAAGACTCAGGGATTGTGTAGGCATGTATACTGAGGGCTAGGCATTAACAGTCCCTTTTACATTGCTGACTCTCCTCAAAGGAATGGGGAGGAACTCTTTTATGATACTGGGGATCAAATCTAGGTCCTAGCACACACATCCTAGGCAAGTGCTCTTGCCTACAGTGGAAAGGAATTTTTTTTTGTGTTGAGCAGTTATCAGCCATAATGTTAAGCTGCCAGGCTCCATATATTCTCTGCCCCACTAATTGAATCCTCTGAGCAGTCCTTTAAGGGTAGTAGTATTTTTTAAATTTAATTTTATTATTTTTATTTTATGAGTATTTGTGTATTGCCTGCGTGTAGGTATAAGTGCACCCATGTCATGCAATGCCCGTGGAGGACAGAAGAGGCTGTCAGATCCCCTGGAACTGGAGTTAATAGACAGTTGTTAGCTGCCCTATGGGTGCTGGGATTTGAACCCGGGTCTTCTGCAAGAACAGTGTTCTTAACAGCTGAGCCATCTCTCCAGCCCCAAGGGTAGTATTATTAAATACTTCCTAGTGTTCTTCACAGTAAAGAAATTGCCGAAGGATCAGTACTGTTCTGAGTGACTGTGCTTTAGAGGGAAACCAGTCTTTATCCCTTTCTAGCTCTTCTGTCCCCTGGTGATGCTCTTTGTTAACTTGGCTAAACAGGGATTGAGTATACAGAAGATTTGCCAAACTGGAGTGATGAAATTTGGTTCCATCCAAGGTTGAACACAGTCTAGAGTTGGAGGAAAAAGACTTAGTTTTTAAAGCCTAATATTCCCACTCAGGTTCTAGGAGCTGAACTGTTAGGTAGAAATGTCAAATGTTAGTGAACATCCTGTTTCTGGATGTGCCTCTCCTTGCTCGGTGAAATAATAGCCTCACTTATGCAGAATTTGCTTTCTTCCCTTAGCTCTTCCTCCTGACTCTGATCTTATTCTTTGAGTTCTTACAACACTGTGTAGTCTCTGTTGATGTTTACCAATGTTCATAGTGATATTTTGCAGTTTGTCTCTAAATCTTACTCTGCAGCTTCTCCTAACACATATAAAATATTTTAAAGTTGTTTTTTTCTGTTTGTGAAAGAAATTCATGTTTTAATGTCTCTAGGGACCAGGATCTACAACAAACATTAGGTAGGTATTCAAGATACATTCTTCTAAGCTTTCTTTCCTGTCCCCTTCCCTTCCTCCTTCCTTTTTGTTTTGGGAGCTCAGGCTATCCTTGAACTGAAGATCCCCCTGCCACAAAGAGATTATAGGTGCATACCACCACGTCTGGCTTTTAAAAACAATAGACGTAAGATGTACTTGATTCTAAATTTAGTAAACTGGGGTCGGGGTTATGGCTTTGTAGTAGAGTGTTTAGTATGCCTGAAGCCGTGGGTTCAATACTCCCCCTCCCCCAAGGTAAGGTACCAGAATAGACGAAAGCAGTTTGAAGGATTCTATAATTGTTTTGTAGAAGTTGGCCACATTTTCAGGATTTAGGTTAATAATTAGGGGACACACACACACACACACAGACACACACACATACACAGACATATTATGGTACAGTTTGAACATGTAATTTATCAAATCTCATTACTGAAGTACTAACTTTTGTTAAACACCAGGTGTTTTTAGTCAGAATACTGTACTGGTATACAGAGATATGCAGAGATGTATTAAAAGTGTATTTGAGATATACTGGGCCTCTTAGCTCTTGAGTGCAATGGGTGCATTAGTGAGTACAGTTCGTCTTCTGTATTCATGAGTTCTGCATCCACAGATTCAGCTAATGTGGATTGAAATACTTGGGGGTTCCAGAAAACTCCAAAAGGCCAAATTTTAATTTGTACTGTGCTGAATCCACTTTAATGAAATGGTGGATAGGCATAAAGTACTGTAGCCTCCTGCTCTGTCACAGGTAATTTTCACAACTCATTGTATCCTGTATACTATGTAGTTAGGCCTCTGGTAGGTACATTTGTACTGAACATGTATGGAGTGTTTTTTTTTTTTTTTTTTTTTGTTCTTATTTTTTTGAGACACAGTCTCCCAATAGCCCCAGCTGGCCTGGGACTCTCAGAGATCTGCCTGCCTCTTCCCCCAAGTGCTGGGGTTTAGTGCACCACCATACCCAGCTGTATAGCATATATTTTGTAGTAGGTATTATGAATAATCTAAAATTGCCTTACAGTAAGTGGGAGGAATGCCATTTTACATAGGGGACTTGAGCCTCCATAGACTTTGGTATCTGAGGGAGGGTCCTGCAGCCATCCCCTGATACTGAGAGGTGACTGTATTATGAGATCTTGGGTCTTACATAAATCTCTGGGCAATATTGGTACTTTAGTTTTAACAGGCTAGTAATCTAGTTGGATTTAGACTGCAAATACTGTTCAGGTCTGTGCTCAGTCTGAAATGGGATGATGGTCTCTGTGGATTCTGCTCTAACAAGCATCAGAACAACTTGATAGAGTTCTTATTTGAGCTTTGTCATTAGATATTCTGGCTCCTTGGGAATTGCCCTTTGGTAAGAAAGTTGCAGCGATAGTTACCTACCTGCATTGCTTCATATTTCCATGGTTGTGCCTGGGTCTGGGCTAAATGGCAGGGGGAGGAACTAGAAAAAACAGTGGGAGTTGGTCCTGTATTCCTGGATCATAGTATCACTATTAAAGGAGAAAATTTCTATTCCTCAGAATTTTGACTAATAATAGTGTTTGTGGGTTGCTACTCTGGGTACATTGGGACTGGCATGTGAGGATAAAGAAAGGAACATGGCTTTCTGTGTTCTTCAAGCATGAGGAGTGCTCTTCGCTGTATTTGAGAGAGAATGACAGGATTTCTCCTGTAGCAATGCTGTTTATGCCCTGATTTCACATGGGTTTTAGGATAGGGGAAGTACAGAAGTCATTCAGTGGTGCTTTGAATTTTGGACTTCGCTTAGCCTGCCTACTGCTTTATTTTGCAGAGCCTTCGACTAGTTGATATGTTCTTTGTGTTCAGGTTTTATAGTTGGACTCAACCTGAGATGTTACCTCCTTTGCTGTGTGGCCACTGATAACACTGTGTTGTTATTTTTTTTAATTTTGAAGCCTGGTTTTCTGACTGGTGTCTGGCTGACACATGTTAAGATAACTGCAGGTAGAAGGACTAGAGAGATGGCTTAGTTAAGAGCACTGTCTGCTCTTGCAGGGGACCCAGGCTCTGTTCCTAGTACCTGCATGGTGGCTAACAACCATTTGTAACACCAGTTTCAGGGAATTTTAAAAAAGATGATTGTGTGGGTATATCAGTATTTTGAATTTAAACTTTAAATTACTTTAAAAATACTCATTGGAAGTGGAGGGTATAGTTCAGTGGTGGAGTGCTTGTATAGCATATGTGAGGTCCTGGTTTGCATGAGACCCTGGGTTCAATCTCAGCATAGCACGGGTGGAGGCAGGATGGAAGAAAATGAAATACTTAACTATTGATCACAGATTCTGTAAAGTTGTCCTACTTTACAAGACAAAGTGAAATTTAGAAATAAAGGTTTTTCCCCTCTAGCTGGTAAGTAACTGAGCACAAGTAAAAATCCTCCTTTTCAAATCTCACAGAACTTTATCTCTTAAAGATTATGAATTATCAGTAATAAGTAGTTGTTTTGGGGAATATGTAGGTGAAGATACTATTTAAAATTTTTATTTTCAATGCTTCTTTTACCCTACCTCTCTTAATACATACTCCGTTTTAAAATTAAATTGGTACGTAATCTTTAGTGTTCTCTGAGGAGTTACTTGATACAGAATTGCGATCTTTTTTTTAATTTAAAAAAAATTAAAAAAAATTTATTGGTCGTTTTGAGACAGGGTTTCCCTGTAGCCCCAGCTGCCCTGGAACTCACTATGTAGACCAGGCTGGCCTTGAACTTATAGACATCCTCCTGCCTCTGCCTCTTGAGTGCTGGGATTAAAGGTATTCAATCTTAAGGAAGTGTTTATCAGCTTTTGTGAGTGAAAAAGATGTTGGAAGATGGAAAAGCATTTTGTTGACAACCTATTTTAAAGTTTTATAAATAGGTTGGATCAGGTTGCTAACTACATGAAGATATCTCATTTTGCACATTGAGCTTGTTTTGATGTGCGTGGATTTAATTACCAGAATTTAGTTACATAAAACCAGCCCTTCAACATAGATCAGATTTCAATAACCACCGTATATAAGCATGAAGTAGTTACGTATTTTACTGCCAGTTCTTTAGTCCATAGATTGCTGGGTCAATATCAGATGTATATCTTGATCAAGGATCAGTCTCTCCACTTCTGTTGAAGCCTGTCCGTGATGCTTACAGTGCATCTGTCACTCAGCCCATATGCAGGCAGCAGTGAGTATAGTTCTGCTCTCTTCTCATCCACAAATGTCACTCATGTGTATGTGTGTATTGCCTGAATGTAGGTAAGTGCACCCATGTCGTGCAATGCCTGCAAGAGGTTGTCGGATCCCCTGGGACTGGAGTTACGGACGTTAGCTGCCATGTGTATGCTGGGATTTGAACCTGGGTCTTCTGCAAGAACAACCACTGCTCTTAACTACTGAGCTGTCTCTCCAGCCCTTTGATGTCATTTCTTAAACTTTCCCCAAATATTTATTTTGCAAGCCCATAGCTTTTAGTTTTTGCAAATAAAGCTTGCATTAACTATTTCTTATATATAATATTACTTAAAAATGTTTCTAATTAAGGAAGGCCTGAAACTAATTTCCATTTTTGCTTTTTTTAGGAATGTTTTAAAGGAAGTTGGGCTACTCACAAGTTACTACATAAGAAAGCAAGTAAGTAGAAACCATACCTAAACCCTTTGTTTTGGAAGTGGCTTTTGTGCCAGAAGATAGAACTTCTTTTAGTTATGAAAGTATATATTTGAGTGTTCTGAATAATTATTCTTTGGTAATATGTAAATAAAATGTGTCTGAATAATATCTGTATTAATCCTTTTTCATATATTTAATATGAAAACATGAGTTTTTTGCTAGGATAGTTAGACCAGTGTCCTAATCTTTTGGCACCCTCTTATATTTGCTAGAAGTACCTGCATATTGTAGGCAGAGGACACAGGGGCTGTTTGGTTTCTTTTGGCTTGTTGCTCTGTAGCTGATGATGGTGTTAAACTTAGATCCTTATCCCCCCTCCCAAGTGCTGGGATTACAGGAATGTGCCATCACACTTTTCTTTCTTTCTTTCTTTCTTTCTTTCTTTCTTTCTTTCTTTCTTTCTTTCTTTCTTTCGTGAAGGGTAGTAGTTGGTTAACACTGGCTGTCTTTCCTCCTCCCTTTCTTCTTTCTCTTCCTCCTCCTCCTCCTCCTCTTCTTCTTCCTCCTCCTCCTCTTCCTCTTCTTCCTCCTCCTCTTCCTCTTCCTCTTCCTCCTCCTCCTCCTCCTCCTCCTTCTTCTTCTTCTTCTTTCTTCTTCTTCTCTTTCTTTTCTTCATGATATTACCTTCATGATATTACCTGTAGCCTAATGTTACCTTTCTTGTTTGAAGTTGCTTTGTTTGACCCCAACAGAGTGAAGCTATTGGGTGTATCTTAGCTGTTGTTGCCAGCCACAAGTTAGCTGCTACCCAGGTCAGGTGCTGCTCAGTAGCCATTCTGCTTCAGCTGTTTACATTTGTCATCAGTGTGCAGACCTGTTGCCTGGAAATTGATGAGGACTTCCTACATAAAACATTGCCATCTGCTAGAGCAAGGGTTGGGAGGTAGGACATGGGTCTAGGTTTAAATTTTCTGTTTTAATGGTTTTAGTATCTTATATTCATCTATTTTTGTGTTCTAGGAGTTGGTTGATCTACTGGTTTGTTAGATTGTTTTACCAAAACATCTGAGGTTAGCCAAACCACCTTTGAAGGAAAAGGAAATAAAAATTTAAAAAAGATGTGGATTTTATGGTGGTATAGGATGACATCTATGTTTAATGGAAATGTGAGACTGTTTTGTGGGAGGAAGTGTGGTTAGAGGGAGGGAAATGATAGAAGTGAAAGTTGATCAAAGCATAAAAAATGGGATTTATTGATTTGTTACTATAAATGGAAGCATAGAGATGGGTATAATCAGGGCATTTAACATGTACTCGTACGTCACATGCTGTATTGCTAGGGTCATAGATTTCTTGCAGAGCCTTTTGAGCCAGTGACTATGCTTTATTCAGGAAATTAAAACAGGGAAGTTAAACAGGATGGTAGTAAAGAAGCTTAGAAGTTTGCCAGCTCATTGAAGTGGTCTGTTTGATAGTGCTGGATTTCTTTCCTTTTTTATTTTTTTGAGACAGGGTATTATTGCATAGCCTAGGCTGACTTGAAACTCTTGATCTTGTTGCCTTACCTTACTTACCAAGTCCTGAGACGGTGGTGTGTGACCCATATCTGGCTTAGTACTTGATGTCTAAGGGCAGAGTTAGGTTAATTTGACTTACACTATAGGTGTTCCACTGTTCCTTGTGTGAAAAAAAATGTGATTATTATAGCATTGGATTTAGGCTATGTGGAGCTTACTTAAACCTTTTGTATTTATTATTATGGACCATCTTATAGGTGGTGCTCTTCTGGATCCTTTGGGGGTGTTTTCTTTTTCAGGTGGTGAGCTCAATTTGCTTAATCCCTTTGGGCTGTGTCGTCCATGCCCCCCCTTCCCAGTTATCAGACTTTTATCTCTCACGTCATAAACTGACCACAAGTACACTGTTGTGACAGTCATAGCAAATGGAATGCTGTGGAAACACCTTCCCAGAGCCAGGAGAGTACTGGGAAAGGCCTTGGTGCATAATAGTGACAGTGAATTGGTTCTTGCCAAGACGGTGGTCTCCTCTGGTTTTACCAAGAGGGGAAGGCCAGGGAGGGTGGTAGGACACAGGAGACATGAAAGTGGGAAGGAGGCCATGGATGGTGAGCGGAAGAGTAAAAGGTGGGGGATTTGGGAATTTGGGAGACAGGTGGGGAGGAGCATCAACAAAACAAGTTTTGTTTGACAATTTCATAATGAAACTTAGTACTGTATGTGCTAATAAAAAATAAAAATAAAATGTAGGTCCCCTCTTCCCAAAATATCTTGATCTTTGAATAAAGATGTATGACTTAATTATTTTCTTGCCTGTTTGCTTTTAATATCTTTGATTGGTTTTGGTATTAGAGTAATTCTGATCTCATAAAATAAAATGGAAAGAAGTTTCTTTTTTTTCTGGAAGAAATTATGTTGAATATTCATTCATTCCTCTTTTAGTTATTGAATTGACTAGTACAAAAATCTGGATTGGAGTTTTTTTCCCTTAAATTACTATTTTTTTAAAAAAAATTACATTTATTTATTTATTTATTTATTTATTTATGTGTGTATGTATGTATGGAGGGGTGGTTGCACATGGTGTGGAAGTCAGAAAACAGCCAAAAGCGGTTGGTTTTCTTCATTCACCCCTTGGGATTCCAGGACAGCACAGGTAGTCGGGCTAGATGGCCTCCTGAACTGTCTCTCCTGCCTGATCGTGCCTGATCGGGAGTTTCTTGATGATGGAAGAATTGTTTGTTTGTTTGTTTTTTGTAGGCCTTAGGAAAATTTTGTGTGTTTACATAAATGACTCTGGCATAGATTTGTGTGTGTGTGTGTGTGTGTGTGTGTGTGTGTGTATGAAGAATACACCAAAATGAAGAAAGCAAGTCAGATTATGAAGCTCTTAGTTACAAACACATAATGCTAATGCTTGAGTTTGTGTTTGGTACACTGTCTTTTACCAGAATGTACTTAAGTAACATTTTCTGTTTCTTTATGTGATTTGTGAAAATTCTAACATCTCAAGACTGTATTATCCATACCAGTTAATCAGTTACATAGTCCTTTCTTTTGTCTTCTATTTTTCTGAAATTAAAAGTGCAAGAGTTTGACAGTCTATCGTTAAAGAAAATTTTATATGTGATTTCTGTATGTGTGACGTATGTGCAAATGTGTGTGTGGGTTGGTGTGCCTGTGTGTGGAAGCCAGAGGTGGAATGTGGGTTCTGGGGAACTCAGGTGGACAGACTTGGCAGCTGGTACCTTTACCTGCTGGACTCCCAAGGAATCTTTTCAAATAGCTTTAAGAAAAACCTCATTTTGGGGCTGGAGAGATGGCTCAGCGGGTAAGAACATTGGTTCTGGCAGAAGACCCAGGTTCAAATACTAGCACCCATATGGCAGCTAACAACTGTCTGTAACTCCAGTCCCAGGGGATCTGACAGCCTCTTCTGACCTCCGTGGGCATTGCACGACATGGGTGTACTTGCCCACATGCAGGCAATACACGTATACACATAAAATAAAAATAATAAATAAAATTAAAAAAAAAAGAAAGAAATACCTCATTTAAAAACACTACTCAATATCCTTGACCTAACTGGCTATACTAGTGTGCTTGATTTCCCCTCCCCTCCTCTCCCCTCCCCTCCCCTCCCTTCATGGAAAGTTGTTCAATATTTCAAGACAGGAGCGACCAAACTTTGTGACACTAGATTCTTCTGAGCATCCTCTCTGGTATGCTAAACCATAGATTTGTTATAAGGCCAAGATAAGCAAGCCTTTGTCACCTTTGGAGACATTAACTTAGAATTTTGATCAGAAAATTCTGTCTCATTCAAAATTTACACATAAGAAATTATTTTATGTCTTCTGACTATAGGAGGAGGCTGATAGAACCTTTTAGAGTTAAGTCCTGATCCAGGCTTGGTGGGCACTCCTTTAATCCCAGCCCTCAGGAGGCAGAGGCAGGTGAATCTCTGTGAGTTCAAGGCCATCCTGGTCTACATAGAAAGTTCCTGGCCAGCTAGTGCTGCATAATGAGACAAAACAGAAAGGCCTGGAGGTTATACACTGTGGGCCACACTGCATGAAATCTGATCCTTTTGGGCGTACTTCCCACGTCTTACCTGGGCTTATTGCATTGTAATTTTTGAAAAATAGCAAACAATGTCCTTTGCTTTCACAATTGTGTAAAAAGAGTTTTGCTGCCACTCTCAGATCAGTTCAGCTTTATTAGGTATCTAGTATGTGTGTAGCATTTGGAACTCAGCTCAGATTCCTTCTAAAATGTAAACTTATTTAAGTGTTCAGGTATAAATTTCCTTTAAGGAGGTTATACTTAGAGATTAGAAGATAATTTGCTGTTTCAACCTTGTTTGTCTAGATAGCTTCTGGATTATGTTGTTTTAGGTCTGCTTTCAATTCTCTTTTGAAATACTGTAGAAGGGCAGGAATGCAGATCAACAGGGAGATTTGAAAGATTTTTATCCTTCCCCTTTCCTGGCTTCCTCCTTAGGCATATGTTAAAGCAAAAGCCCCTTTTTGTTTTGTTTTTGAGGCAGAACCTAGCTGTTTTTTTTTTTTTTCAATCACATTTATTTATTTTGTGTGTATATGCATTATGTGCATGCATGCCATGCATGTGAAAGGGGACAACTTGGGGGAGATGGTTCTTTCCTTCCACCATGTGGGATCTTGGGGATTGAAGATCCCCACAGCCTCTGTAGCATAGCTATTGAGATAGACTCCAGCTCTGTAGCCCAGGCTGTCCTCAAACTTATGATCCTTTTGCCTCAGGCTCCCAAGTGCTGGGAATAAAGATATGTGCCACTATGCTCAGCAGAAGCCTAAATCTTGATTGTTGTGTCCTAGATTTAAGGAGAAATCCCTAGAGGTTCCTGTTTTGGATAGAATTACTTCATACCTGAAGCAAGCATTAGTTGTCATTTTGAATGATTTTCTGTAGTGCTTGAATCTAGTGACAGTGAATTGGGTCATAATTTTTGTATTGACACTAACTTTTACAGTGGTCTTGAACTCCAGAAGAAGAAAGATACTTAGAACTCAGTAGCATAGCAGACCTTTTTCTTTCTGCCTTAGTACTGCATATATAATAGTATAAATATATTCTCCAAAGTAAGGTAAATGGGGTGGCTATATTTTTGCCTTCTCCTCAGTTGTGCCTCCAGGGCCTTTCCTCCTGCAGTTGATTAGATGCTCTATGGAGAGTACTGGGCTGGGGACTGCCATTCTTACATCACTGCACGTTTGAAATACATCACCTCAATTTCCATCTGTAAAATAAGGAAATTAGATCATCTTTAAGAAGCTCTCTAGTATATTTTATAATTCCACCTGCTCTCCCTCAGTTCACATTTTTATTTTTTGTGGTGCTTGAGATTAAACCTAGGGCCTCATATATCATCTCATTTTAGTGAATTAAGTGGGTAGTTTTATTCCTATACATTTCTAAAATTATGCTGAGTCTCAGAACTTATGCTAAAAGGACAGTAATGAGGAAAAGATCTGGCTGCATTGGGAAGTAGGGTCAGCACTTGTTCTAGGGGATACTTGGATGCTTTCTACTTAAAGTAAGAGATGTAGCTAGTGTGTTGATGCCAAATAACTAGATGATCTACTTTTTGTGAAAAGAATTCTTAGGTGCATTTCAGTAACGATAGCTTTATATTAATAATTAACATGATTGTACATGAGTTTTCTATAATAGATTGCTAGCTTCTGCCTGCCTCTGCCTCTGGGTGCTGGGATTAAAGGTGTGTGCCACCACACCTGGCCTAGTATTTTTTTAAAAGAAATAATAGTCATAAAATTTTTAGGACATCTTGAAATACCAACTTAAAGACCATTTATCAGTTGGAAATTGGTTTTGGTTTAAGTTTGCTTTGGGGTAACTCAGGATCTATTTAATTTTCTTTCACACCTGTCTCCCAGAAGATGAAAAGGCAAAACGAGAAGTGTCACCTTGGACCGTAGATGGTGATGTGAACACTGACCCTTGGGCAGGTTATCGTTACACCGGTAAACTCAGACCACACTATCCACTGGTGAGTATATGAGGTAATAAGAATGTGACAGTTCTTTTAAATCAGTTTTCAATTTCCTAAAAGTAGTGTTTGTAATTTGTATTCCAGTAATGATTATGTGAGCAGGATTGCTTTCAGAAAGGAGCTTGCCTTTTGGCTCTTAGGGCTTGTTATTTAGGAGCTAGTGAGGATAATTGGTAGTTGTAGAGGAAGTAGGGAAAGTTTTAGATGAAAAAATTGAAATTATTTTTTAAAAGTGGGGTAAGTATTTTTATTCTGTGGAGTAGATACTTTCTGACTGGCATGATATTACTGCTTTTTAAAAATTTTTTATTTTTAAATTTTATATGTATGAATGTTTTACCTGCATGTATATAAGTGCACCATGGGTGTGCAATGCCCACAGAGGCAAGAAGAGGGCATCAGATCCCCTGGAAAGTTGTTAGCCGACATGTGCTTGCTTGGAACCCATCCTGAGTTCTCTGCATGAGCAGTCAGTGCTCTTCAGTGCTCTTAACCTCTCAGCCAACTCTCCAGTCCCTCTGAACATTTTTAAACTTAAAAAAAATTTTTTTATTATTTTTATTTTATGTGTATGCATGTATTGCCTGCATGTAGGTAAGTGCACCTGTGTCATGCAGTGCCTGCAGAGGACAGAAGAGGCTGTCGGATCCCCTGGAACTGGAGTTAAGGACAGTTGTTAGCTGCCATGTGGGTGCTGGGATTCAAACCCAGGTCCTCTGCTAGAACAGCCAGTGTTCTTAACCGCTGAGCCATCCCTCCAGCCTTGGTTCTTGCAGTCTTTCTGCCCCTTCTTCCACAGTGATCCCTGAGCCTTGGGGGGAGGTGTATGATATAGATGTCCCATTTAGGGCTGAGCACTCCATAGTGCCTTATTTTCTGCATTTTCACCAGTTGTGAGTCTCTATACTAATCTCCATCTACTGCAGAAAGAAGCTTCTCTTAGGAGGGTTGAGGGCTACGCTAATCTGTGGGTACAAAGAGAAATTTTTAGGGGACAGTTTAGTGCTGTGTCCTTTCGGCAGAAAAATTGTATTAGGTTCTCCCTAATTAGGTTCTGGGTAGGGCATTTGACCTACTCAGCTGAGGGTTCTTGTCTCAGTTAACAGTATTAGGTGTGATATCCACCTTGTGGAAGTGGGCCTTAAATCAATCAGAAAGCAGTTGATTACTCCCAAAACATTTGTGCCACTGTTGAACCTGGTACATTTTACCAGACTGGTCATTACTCTTGCCCCCAGGGTTCACAGCTGGGTAAGAGTGTTGATGCCTTTTCTTCCTCAGTAACATGCATAGATAGTATCTTGCAGCACTGTGTAAACTTGCCAGTAGGGATGAAGCTTCCAGATTGGTACCTGCTTGGTTTCTCCATTGGACTCAAGAGTGTTAACATAGAAATTCACTTAAGTTGAAATGTGAATATTTACGTTTGTCTGATTGATGCTTTTCTTTTTATAAAAGGACTAGTCTTTAGTATAAAATTTGGATTGGTTTGCCAATTTGGAGCAACAGGGCACCTTGTGATTTGTATCTAACCTCAAAGCTCTGATGGCCTTAGCCATTCTTCTTAAACATAAATGTGCCACTGACATTAGAAAAGTTAAGCTTAATTTTAATGAATAGGAGTCTTAAGATGTTTTAGCAGTCTAGTAAAAACTTTTCATTAGCTGCTTTTCCTTGAACCTCACACTTTAATGTTTTCCCAATTTTCTTTTCTATTTAATAAGTTTTAAACTAATCTTTGTTGCTTTTAGATGCCAACAAGGCCAGTGCCAAGTTATATTCAAAGACCAGATTATGCTGATCACCCCTTAGGTAAGATCTAGTTGCCTAATTCTTTGTTTTTCAGTTTGTGGGTTTGTCACTGCAAAGGAAAGAGTGCTTTTCTTATAGAAAGTTTTCAGTGCTGGACTGTAAACACTGTCTTCTTTTTTAAAGATAAATTAGAGCATTTAAGATAAAGATTCTTTCCCCTCATTAGGAATCTATTCAGTTCTGAGAAACGATGACACTACTACAGTCCACATTTAGGACAATGGTGTATTTTGTGTTAATATGAACTGCTGGGGGTGTGGGGTGTTTGATTTGACATGTGCTCTTACTTAATTGAAGGCAAAAGCAGATTATGGAGGCCCAAGTGAATGCCTAACTAAAGACTGGTCTTTAGCAGTAAGAAAAAGAGTAGTGATGGTGGTGATAAAGGTAGAAATGATGATGATGGTGATGATTCTACAATAGTAACTGATATTTATTTTTGCTTAACTATGTGTCAGGCACTGTGCTAAGTTCTTTGCACGTGTTACTCCATTTAATACTTTCAACATTTCTGAGGTAGGTTCTGTTGTCTTCTCTATTTCATAGATAATACTAGTGAGATATGCAGAGAAGATGGGTAATTTACAACACAGGTCAGTGGAGTTAGTCTCTGACCTTTGGACTTGTACACTATCATTTAGATTGAACTAGATGTAAATTCTGGTTTTGCATGTCAGAAGTGGTTGAATACCAGCAATTTCATATGGTTTATTACTTTTAAAAAAGTATTTAATTTTTTGGTTTTGAGACAAGGTCTTATTACATAGCCTGAGCTGGCCTCAGCGTGCAGTCCTCTTGTTTCAGCGTCCTGAGTGCCCGGATTAAAGGTGTGTGCCACCATGTGTAACTCATGGCTTAATATAAAGCTCAACTTACCTTTGCTTTGTTCTCTGAGGCATGTAACTATGTTGTTTTTCTGCGTGTATTTTTAAAATGTAGTTAAAGTCATTGTAGATAAATGTAAGGAAAAGACAGAATGATCGAATACTGTGGAGACATGTAATTTAATTCTATTTTGAATATAGAATTAGCATTTTTATTATTATTATATTTATGTGTATGCGTGTATTGCCTGCATGTAGGTAAGTGCACCTGTGTCGTGCAATGCCCAAGGTCAGAAGAGGCTGTCTGATCCCCTGGAATGGAGTTAAGGACGATTGTTAGCTGCCATGTGGGTGCTGGTAGCTGAACCTAGGTCTTGTACAAGAATAGCCGGTGTTCTTAACCACTGAGCCATCTCTCCAGCTCCAGAATTAACTTAAATTTTAACAAATAAGTATAAAGTTGAATAGAATGAAATTATATGCATTGGAAGAAAAGTCCTATTCTGTAGAGAGAGGTAACTGCTATGACTAGTTTTTTTATTTTTATTTATTTTTATTTTATTTTTTTAAGACAAGTCTCCCTGTAGCCACAGCTGGCCTGGAACTCACTGTATAGACCAGGCTGGCCTCCATCTCACAGAGATCCACCTGCCTCTGCCCTTCTGAGTGCTAGGTTTAAAGGTGTGTCCACTAGTTTCTGTACCGCATATTAGACTGTGCACTGATTTCTATATAAATGAACCTACCACGTATACATTATACCTTGTTGTGTTCTTCTAATATGTTAACATTATCTGGGAAGTTTTCCATATGAGTTCATGTACGTTTACTTCTTTCTTTGAATGAGGTATTTTATTGTGTGACTGTATCATAATTTATTAAACCAGGCTCCTACCAATGAATGGTTGATTTTTTTTGCAGGGTTTTGCTTGTTTAAATTTGACTGTAGTCACTATTATATTTTCATTTTTGTCCACACGTGAGAGTATTTCTTTAGGTAGATTGCATAAAATAATAGTTTGAATCAAAGGATATATACATTTTTAATTTTGAGATGCTATAAAATTCATAGGTTTTGGCCAATTTTATTACCCTCATTACAAACATGAATATTTTGTTTTTCTTGTGTCTTCACCAGCATTGTGTGTTATGAAGTTTTTTTTTTATGGTCTTCGCAAATCTGAAAGATTAAAAAATTGTATTTTATTTTAGGTAGTGTTTTAAAATTATGAGTAAGGCTGAACATCATTGCACGTATTAGACATTAGTATTTTCTTTTTTTTAAATCCCTGTTAGATTATTAGGTTTTTTTTTTTTTTTTTTCCTAAATGATTTCTAAAATATTCTTTCTAAGCTGGGTGAGGTGGCTCACAACTTTAATCCTAGGATTTGGGAGGCAGAGGCAGGTGGATCTCTGAGTTCAAGGCCAGCTTGGTCTATATACGGAGTTGCTCGCCAGCCAGTGCAGCATAGTGAGACCCTGTCTCAAAAAAAGAAAAAAAGTTCTTTCTATACAAAATGACACTGATGCATGTGTTAAAATGCTTTTCTTCTCACTTGAGCACTAATGTTCTGCTGTTACATTTGTGACACACTTTCAAGATTTGTATATAGTAAAGTAAGTGCATCCTGCATTATTACATTTAATTCTCACATGTCTTTGGGTTGGTTTTTTTCATTCTGTGCTGTTCTGATGCCCCATTCGTCTAGTCATGTGCCATTGCCGAACCCATGGCTGCTGGAGCTGTAATGTTTAATGTTGTTCTTTTTGAGAATTTTCCTGGGTATTCTTGCAGATTTCTTTTTCCATATAATATTTACTGTAAGCTTGTCTTGGTTTCCAAAAGTATCCTGTTGATATTTTTTTATTGGAATAGTATTAAATTTATAGATTAATTTTGGAAGAATTGATACCTTAATATTTAGTCTTCTATTCGAGAACAGGGTATGTTTTTCTATTTGTCTCCTTTTATATCTTTCAGTGGAATTTCGAGATTTCCTTCTGAAGGTCTTTTATTATGTTTGTTCTGGGTTTAGTTGTCTTTGTGAATAGTGTATATTTTAGCTCATTGGTATTATGGTAAAGTTACTGATGTTGATAACATTTCTCTTACAAACTGCTAACTTTCTGAATTCTTATCTTCATTTATCAGGTGATTCTCTTGTTCTAGAGATATGTAATGATTTCAGACCTTTTATTCTGTCCTTTTAAATGTGAAAGGTTTTCCTCGTTCTCTTGTTTATTACATCTGCTAGATGTAATACTAGATGTAATGGCTTATACCAGACAACAGCCATTCTATGAAGCTGCTCCTTGACTTAGATTTATTTTTGTTATTTTACAGTGGTAGCTGCCCATGTTATGAGAACTGTATTTCTGGATGGTCATTTATTTTCTAATATTGAATTAATAGTTCCGTCATCTGATGTGAATCTTTCATAAGTTATGGCAGTTAAAAAGTTTTAATTTTGTGGGTGCTAGAGAGATGGCTCAGCAGTTAAGAGTGCTTCCTGCTCTTCTAAAGTTCAGTTCTCAAGCACATGTCGGTGACTCACCATCACGTGTAACATCAGCTTCAGGCGCCCAACACCCTCTTTTAGCCTCTGCAGGCACCTACCCACAAGCGACACACTCATAAGACACAAAAATAAAAAAATCTAAAAATTGTTGGAATTCTTTTCAATTTTAGTATTTATAAACAAGATTAGTTCTTGATTCTTACTTTTTTTCAGATTTTGAAATAATGGCTGTATTGGTAGTACTTCTTTTAAATATAAGTGAAACTTGACTTAGACTAATTTCATTAATGAAGATTATTTGGACAGTATTTCTCAAACTTTTTTGATTATGATCCTGAGTGAGAAATGGATTTTATAACATGATCTGTGTATATATAAATGGTAATATGATATTTCATAGAGTATTTCCTGGGGCTGTATAATATAGAATCTTTTAATTTCTATTTCTTTTTCACTTTTCAAATGTTACTTATAGCCTACAAAAAGATCACAACTATAGTTTGAATAACATTGACTTGAGTTCTTGTTTTAGAAAAGCAGTGTAATTGGTTTAGTGATTGGTATATAGTTGTCTCATGAGATGATGGCCATGAAAGCACTTTGTAAGTTGTGTTACACTACTAAATGTGAATTATTTACTGAACTTAGTGCACTTCCTGGCATACTGTAAGTACACTATAAATAGTGACTACTTTCTACTAGATCTAAAAATTTGTTCTTCACAATTCCTTCTTTAATCTGTTTGGCAAGTTGCCTTTTCATGTTAGGAAAATATTGTTAAAAGAAACCAACAAAAAACTAGGGGCTAGAGAGATGGCTCAGCGGTAGAGAACACTTGGCTGTTCTTGCAGAGGACCCGAGTTCAATTCCCATCTCCCATATGGTGGTTAACAACCATCCATAGCTCCAGTTCCAGGGCATCTGATACCTTCTTTTGGCCTCTATGGGGCATTGTATGCACGTGATGCACTTACATACATGCAGGCAAAAGATTCCTCCACATACAATAAAAATAATAAATATTAAGAAAAACTAATCTGGATCCTTTCAAAATAGGAAGTAGTGAGTGAGAGATAAGGAGAATAAACTATTATGCCGTCAAGGATAGAACCCTGGTTGTAAGTTCTACATCTTTCCATTTGTTTTGGTTTTGCTTACTGATTTTCCATTCTAGGAATGTCTGAATCTGAACAGGCTCTGAAAGGTACTTCTCAAATTAAATTGCTCTCGTCTGAAGATATAGAAGGGATGCGTCTTGTCTGTAGGGTAAGAGTTGTTTTCCTCATGGACTAAAGCGTGTTCAAACAGACCTAGACATTGCGTCAGTGACTTGCTGCTTTATAAAGATAGGGGACTTCCCCTGTAAGACTGTGACTAGCCATCCTTTTCCTTCAGTTACTGTCAAAGCTGCTGTTTCCTACTTAAATAATCATTGAAAACTAGTATGGCAAGCCGTCTGTATCTAGTTACCAGTTGGTTTCTTTGATCAGCTTTGTATAATTTATCTTTATTTGCATAAACATTTACTGAATTCCACAGATATAAGAGCTTGCAATATTATTTTTAAAGAATGAAGTTCTTACACTTTGTCATTTTTATTTCCACAAATGTTATAGGACAAAGTCCAAGGCTCACACAGTTAGATTAAAAGTCTTCTGAAATACTTGTGCATGAAGTATGGTATAAATGGTTGAATGAATTAATTACTTAAATATTTTTTCTGAAGAAAAGATAATTTATTGTTTCCATTTAGATGTGATCCTTAAGGTTTTCATGTAGCATTTTAAAAATGGTTTGATAGGAGATATTGATACTCTGTTCACTTATTTGCTATGTGAGGAAATTCATTAATCTATTATGTTTCCTTTCACCTTCCCCCATTATAGAAATGTTACAAGATTTGACCTTGATCAATTGATTTTTTTTAGATAACTTAGGATGTATATTTTCATGTAGAAACCATTTAAGCTTATTGATACATTAACTTTAGCCCATTTTAAAAAATTTTTAAAAATCTTACTGAATTTTTGTGTATTTTACACAGAACATCTTAACTTTATTCCGCCCCCTCCCCACTGACACCTGCCTATAGCCCCCCACTTGAATTCATACATTCTGTCATTTGTGTTAAGGCCTGTCATGTCAAGTTACTGTCCCCAGACGTCCTTCAGTGCAAGTTTATCCACTGAGGTCTAGTCAGCCTATCTAGAATCCCTCCCTTTAAGAAGATCAGCTCTTCCTACCCAGCAGTAATCAGCTGCCAATAATTCTTTGACTAAGATTGGGGCCTGTTGTCCATTTCCACAGTTCTGTGCTGGGTTTTTATCTGAGTTTGCATGGATCTTGAGCATGCTGACACCATTGCTGTAGGTTCATAAGAAGGGTCCCAGGAGCGTAGGACTCTATTTGCATATGGTCATGCACCTCCTCCCTGGCTTTTACAATCTTTCTGCCCCCTATTCTGCACTGTTCCCTGAGTCCTGGGTGTGTGGATTTTAATATAAGAGTCCTGTCCAGGATCCACATTCTGTAGACTCTTATTTTCCCCGTTTGGGCCATTTTGTGACCTTGTGTGTTCCTGGCCTTCTGCTGCATGAGGAAGCTTCACTGATGAGAACTGAAAGATGCTTTAGTGTTCTCTTTATCCCTTGGTCTATGTTCCGTGAGCCTTAGATATAGAGGATACATTGTAGATGTGCCACTTAGGATTGGACATTAGCCCAATTTTTATATAAATTTGTTTTAGATACTTAACATTTTATATTTCTGAATTTAATATTGCATATAAAATAATATTGAAAGCAATTTCATTTGACCAATTTTTCACAAAATTGAAAACAGTACAGAATATAGATTCTATTTTATTCCTTTTTGAATGTACTAAGCTTTCTTTTACAGCTTGCAAGAGAAGTTTTGGACATTGCTGCTGGGATGATTAAGCCTGGTGTTACTACTGAAGAAATAGATCATGCTGTGCACTTAGTAAGAACTTTATTTTTTTATTTCAGAAAATGTTTCAAAATTTTAGATATTTACTTCATTGTATAAATGTCTAAAACAACTTGATATAAGCTAACTGGAAAACTTACATTTGTATTGTTTCAACTGTGGAAAGCCTTCAGTAGCTATTATCCCATTAGTCAGTATATTCTGCTTTAAAGTATTTAGGATGCTATGTGTAGGTTATGTGCAAACATTACAGCTTACAAAAGTTTGGAATGTGCAGATTTGGTAGCTAACAGGAGGTGTGGTGCCTCCTCTACAAAATGCTTAGATGTGACTGTGCCTGTGTTACTCAAATCTGAAGGGAGATGGAAACATCTTATTTCTGAAACCTTTTCTTTTTTTTTTGAGACGGGGTCTCCTTGTAACCCCAGCTGGCCTGGACTTGCTATGTAGACCAGATTGGCCTCAATCTCAGAGATCCTCCTGCCTCTGCCTCTGGCTCTGCCTCTGCTGGCATTAAAGGAATGTGCTACCACTCCTGGCAAATCTCAGCTTTTATAAAATTGATTAACCGGGGCTTTCAGTAACTCATACTACTACATATACTAAATAAAATTTAAGAGTTCTTTTGTAATTCCATAGAATGTAATGATTATAAAATGTCTCAGAAAGCACTTTACCATTTAACTATACTAATATCCACTTTTAGGGATTCTTCCTGTTTTTAGGGATATAGCCTGCTTCTATGTAAGAAGCTACAACATTGAAAGTGCTCATTGCTATTTGCTCTTTTTATTGAAAGTACATTTTCCACAAGTAGTGGTTAAGTCTAGAATAGAGCCGTCATATAGTAACACTTGCATATATTTGTTGTGTGTGAATTTGCTTTTCCTTTGCATGAACACCAGTCAAAGGAAACCATACACCATGGTTTGTTTACAGTGTATCTGAGTGGCAAACAACCTATTATATGTGGTACAGGATAGTATCTACCATCAGGCATGATGTTGTATACCTGTAGTCACAGCTTCTTAAGAGTCTGAGTGAGACAGACAACTCACTTGAGCCCATGAATTCTAAGACCTGCCTGGGCAACAACGTGTGTGTGTGTGTGTGTGTGTGTGTGTGTGTGTGTGTGTATGCATTTGCATATACATATCCACCACTATTTTTAAATAATTTTTTTTTACAATATTTTATTTATTTTATTTGATGCGTATGAGTGTTATGCTTGCATGTGCACCCATGTGCAATGCCCTCGGAGGACAGAAGAGGCTGTTGGATCCCCTGGAACTGGAGTTACAGGCAGTTGTTAGCTGCCATTTGGGTTCTGGGATTTGAACCCAGGTCTTCTGCAAGAACAGTCAGTGTTCTTAATCGCTGAGCCATCTCTCCAGCCCCTAAATAAAGTATTTAAAATAAAGTATTATATGTTTTTTATGATAGCATCTGTCATACAATTCTTCAGATTTTATGAGCTGAGTCATTGAATACAGTTTTTTCCTTTTGTACATTCTGAATTATTTTCTCTGTATTTTCATTTATGATAGGCATGCATTGCAAGAAATTGTTATCCTTCTCCCTTGAATTACTATAATTTCCCAAAGTCTTGTTGTACCTCAGTGAATGAAGTCATCTGCCATGGAATTCCAGACAGACGGCCTTTGCAAGAAGGTGATATTGTTAATGGTAAGAAAAACGTTTTGGGTTTCTGTTTTCTTGACTTTTATAGTAAATATAAAAACAATTACCCTAAAACTCTGGAAACTTTTGTGATTTGGTGCACATTTCAAGGCATAGCTGTTCTGGCATACAGCCTATATTTCTTAACTGCTTGCCTTATATGTGATTGGTGACAGGCAAAAGATGTTAGTGAAATGTGGATGTCTTAGGAGTTTAGTCTAATTTTTTCTTTTTCCAAAATTTAATGATTCTGAAGAGATCAGAGTAGGTTTTCTGGAGAGATAAGAGAAACCCCTAGTAGCGTGCAGAGATCTTAAGAAAAGTAAAAATCTCACATTAGTGCCTGTTTTGAATGGAGGGGCTTTGAAGACCTCTGTACTTGGCTGTCTTGGGAGCACTCTACTTCTGTAGAGAACCTACAAAACTGTTTCCCATTGGACTTGAAAGGTAGTATCAGTGAAGAATGCTCCCCTAGAGAAAGTAATCAACATCTTACCATTTGTGGACCCCATGAGCTACAGTAATGACTGGCCTGGCAAGATATGCCTACTTATGCAACAGTGGCAAGAGTGTCATGGGAGTAACTCATCACTTTGTGTTTTGACTTAAGGCCTGCTTCACAAGATGAAACTCATGCCTGGCACCATTAACTGGGCCTAAAACCCATAGCTGGCTAGGTGACAGGCCCTAGGGGAGCACCCAATATTATTATTCTGCAAAATGGACATAGTAATAAACTGCCCCCTAGGTTCTTACCTTTATACCCATAGATCTCTCAGCCTTCATCAGAGAAGCTTCTTTTTACAGTAATTAGGTGATGATTAATACATAGATCCACAACTTGTCAGTGTGTAGAGAGTTAAGAGAATTTGGAATGCTTAGCTCTAAATGGAGTATCTGTATTATACCTGCTCCCCTCACTGCTCAGAGACCATTATGGAAGAGGAGATGGAAAGATTGTAAGAGCCAGAGGTAGCGGACATCTGCAACAAAACAGTATTTGCTGAACATGACAGGGCTCATGCACACAAGAACTCACAGTGGCTGTGACTGCATGCACAAGACCTGCATAAGATCTATCCAGACAAAATATCAGCATGGATGGGAGAGTGAAATCCTCCCTCTAGCTGAGGAGCTGTTGGCAATAGATGGCTGACATGGGAGGGAGACACAGTTCCTTTAGATTCAGCCCCTGAGAGGCTACCCATGTTCCAGTAGATGGTCCTACACCCTTGTACATACAGGCAGTACAAAGTAGACTCAGTGGATTTGAAAACATAGCACATGAAGTTGGGAAATGAAAGTAGTGGGGGAATATGAATTAGAGGAAGGGAGGGTGGCTTTAATTAAAACACATTATATGCATGTATGAAATTTTCAATTAAAAAAGAAAAAGGAAAAAAAAAAGCAAAATTCCCTTAGATGTAATGTGTTTTTATGCGTTTGTCTCTATTAGCATTTATGCCTGCTCATCTGTGTATCTGTATGTGAAGGACAGGGCTTGACTTCTGTTGCTTTCCATCTTAGTTTTGAGACAAGGTCTCTCATTAAACTGCGTCTTACCATTTCAGTTAGGTAGGCTGGCGAACAAACCCTCAGGATCCTCCTTTGTGTGCTCCCCTATGGCTGGGGTTATAGACGTGTGCCTCCATGCCTGACCTTTTATATGGTTGCTGGGGATCTGAACTCAGATCTTCACTTAAAAAGTTATTTATTTTTATTTTTTATTTTATGTGTATGAGTGTATTGCCTGCATGTATGTAAGTGCACCCATGTCATGCAGTGCCTGCAGAGGTCAGAAGAGGGCGTCAGGTCCCCTGGAACTGGAGTTAACAGTAATAGCTACCATGTGGGTGCTGGGAACCCAATCTGGGTCCTCTGCCAGAGCAGCCAGTGCTCTTAACTACTGAGCCATCTCTCCAGCTCCCCCCCCTTTTAAAATATTTTATTTGTTATTTTTATTTTATGTGTATGAGTGTATTGCCTGCATGTATGTGAGTGCACCTGTGTCATGCAATGCCTCGGAGGTCAGAAGAGGGCTTCGAATTCCCCTGGAATTGCAGTTAAGGACAGGTGGTAGCCACCGTGTGGGTGCTGGGAATTGAACCTGGATCTTCTGCAAGAGCAGTCAGTGTTCTTAACCACTGAGCCATCTCTCCAGCCCTGAGCTCCCCTTTTTTTGATTAAAAATTTTTATTTTTATTTATGTGTATGAGTTCATTGCCTGCATGTATGTAAGTGCACCACGTCTATGCCAATCTGCAGAGATCAGAAGAGGGTGTCGGATCCCCTGGAATTGAAGTCGTCATGTGAGTGCTGGGAAATGAAACTGGGTCCTCTGTAAGAGCAACTAGTGCTTTTAAATGCTAAGCCATCTCTCCAGCCCCCAGATCCTCATTCTTGTTTAGCAGGCACTTTATTCACTGAGCCATCTCCTCAGGTCCTAAGGTGGTGTTTTGTTTTATTTTGTTTTGTTTTTTTCGTTTTGTTTTGTTTTGTTTATTCTTTTTGAGACAGGGTCTTTCTGTAGCCCCAGGTATCCTGGAATTCACTATGTAGACAAGGCTGGCCTCACAGAGATTCTCCTGCCTCTGCCTCCCAAGTGCTGGGATTAAAGGCGTGCGCTACCAGTCTAGCTCCTAGGTGACATTTTTAATATTGATTAAATTAGTCTTTCCAGGATATTAGTAAAGTCCAAGGAAGCAATAGCCCAGAAGATAAAGCATGCACAGAATCAACCAATTATGCTGGCTTTGAATGATAGTCAACGTTAAATATAATACTGTCTTCATTGTAGTTGTTAATTTATTTAGAATCTGTTCATAAACATTCCATATGTTTTGTGTTCAATCTTGATTTTCATATAAATGTTTGTTTTTATTTATTTTTGAGATGGAGGTCTTACTATGTAAGCCCTGTTTTTCTAGAACTCACAGATCTAAAGCTTGCCTCTATCTTTCAAGTGGTGGAATTAAAGGTGGGAAGCACCATGCCCAGTTAAACCCATTACGTGTACATATGAGGTTTTTCAGGAATGTTATGTGTGGGTACTCAAAATAAAATGTCTCTGCTGCAGTGCAGTAGCTTGACTCAAGTCTGAAGTATAAGGATACTCATGCAGTGTGCTCTCTAGATAGACACTTAGTTTATTGTAGTGATACAGGAGTAATCTTTATTGTAAAACGTGGTTTAATAATAAAGGATGACTGCTTATAAATGGATGAGACAAATGAGTTAAAAAATAAATCTTAAGTATAAGGTTTGTTTTTAAAGAGGAAGAAACTTGTTAAAGATAAGTGAAAATATATTTTCTGTTTAATTTCAGAATTTAGCCAATTTAGATTCAGAATTTACTAAACATGGTTATTGATGTTGTACGACTGTAATGCTGCATAACTTACTTCTCTGCTGCAAATAAAAAAGCCCACCGTCTATCTTGTGCTGCATAGCTATATTCTTTTCCATAGTGAGTTTAGTTGCATTACACTCAAGGACTTTCTCTTCGGCAGTGAAGAAATCATCTTTTTCATTCAGTTACTTAATGCTCTTATGTGGGAAAAAAAATTAATTTTGCTTTAAAATATTAACGTTCTTTCTCTTTGCCATTCTTTTGCAGTGGACATCACCCTTTATCGTAATGGTTATCATGGTGACCTGAATGAGACATTTTTTGTTGGAGATGTGGATGAAGGGGCACGGAAACTAGTTCAGACCACATACGAATGCTTGATGCAAGCCATTGATGCAGGTCAGCTTCAATGCTATGCACACGTTGGTACTGCGGAACTGTCAGTGACTTGGCACTGTGAGGCTCTGCTTCTACCCCACCTCAGCTAGCTCTAGGTTTTAGCAGTTAATGGGGAGAAGGATGATTTGCAGAGCCCTTGAGAGGAAAGGATGTTTGGTTGGCATCCTCTCACTCTTCTAAGACTTATTAGTATCAGTCTTTAACTTTTTTTCTCAGTCTTTAACTTTTAAATGAAGAGGAGTATATGGTTGGTTCTTTAGTGTGTTTTGTTCTGTTTTGTTTTTGAGACAGGGTTTCCTTGTAGCCCTAGCTGGCCTGGAACTGATTTTGTAGACCAGGCTGGCCTCATTCTCACAGAGATCTGCCTGCCTCTACCTCACAAATGCTAGGATTAAAGACATGTGCTACTGTGCCTGACTTTCTTTAGTGCACTCTTATTTTTATTTTGACTTTATTCTTTAAAGAAATTATCTTTGAATTTATTTTTATTTTTTATATGTATGGGTGTTTTGTCTTCATGTATGTAAGTGCATCACATGCATGCAGTGGCCATGGAGGTCAGAAGAAGGTATTGGATCTCCTAGAACTGGAGTTACCGATGGTTGTTAGCTGCCATGTGGTGCTGGGAACTGAACTAGGTCCTCCGCAAGAGCAGCCAGTGCTTGTAACCACTGAGCTGTCTCTCCAGCCTCCTAACTTCACGTTTTCACTTGCATGAACATTTATGTTCTCATTACAGAAAATTTAAGAATAGGGATTTTGAGAGGATAGTGATTAATTCTCCTTTCTGTTTGCCTTTGCACTTTGCTTTTCCTATCTTCTATTACCAGAGCCATCACTGTTAACGTTTAGGTTGACTTTTTCCCTCCCTTTCTGCTGTAATTTTTCATTTGCAGATATGTGTGTGTGCTTGGTTAGATTAGACAGAATCATGGAATTTTTGATACTCTGTAATTTGTCATTTCTTAAAACTAATAATCTTAACAAATTAGCTGATATACCTGCATATATAGATGTACTTCATTAAAAACTTTTAAAAAAGTTGGGCTGGAAAGATGACTCAGTGGTTAAAGAATCTTTGATGGTCTTACAGAAGACCTGAGTTCAGCTCCCATCACCCCTTACTGTGTGGTGTCCTTTTCTTGCATTAGAGGAGGTGCTGCTGCTTCGAATTGGAGCGTTGCCATTTACTGGCTGTATGGATTCTCTGTGCCTTAGTTTCCACGTACGTAAATCCTAGCACAAAGGCATAGCAAGTATGTGCAGAGGTCTTTTTCTACATGGAAACTAACTGCTTAGTAAATGTTTCTCTTTGTCATGAATCTTCTCTCTTCCTTCCAGTGAAGCCTGGTGTTCGATATAGAGAATTGGGAAACATTATTCAGAAACATGCCCAAGCAAATGGATTTTCAGTTGTTCGAAGCTATTGTGGGCATGGAATCCACAAGCTTTTCCATACAGCTCCCAATGTACCACACTATGCTAGTAAGTACTGTCCAATATTTGATTATTTCTATTTATTAAATATTTATTCAAGTATTCAAGGGGCTGGAGAGATGGCTCAGTGATTAAGAGCACTGGCTGCTTTTGCAAGAACCTGCGTTAGTTTCCCAGTGCCCACATGGCAGCTAACAACTGTCTGTAACTTCAGTTCTAGGGGAACAGACGCCCTCTTCTGGCCTCTGTGGAAAATGTGCTTACATACATGTAGGCAAAACACACACATTAAATAAATAAATGCATAAATGTTAAATATTTAAGTATACATCAGGGTCTCCCATTTTGTCTTCATTGAAGTAACGTGTTAGCTAGAGAACAGATTGTATTTGTTCAAACACAAATCAAGTCTTCCTGCAGTCCAAAGAAAGCGTGTGGTCAGTATGGGCTGGCCCAAGCTCTAGCCTGCCTTTTCAGGTTACCTTGAGGTTGCCTCCTAGTCAGCAGATAGGGTGGTAGGAGGGGAGGTGCTTGGAAGGACGTGTTTGGGAGTTTTAATGAGCTAGTCTGGGATTTCCATAGATCACCTTTATCTGTTTCCATTCAGTCTAACGGCAAGGGAGGTCAGGAAGTATAATCTAGCTGAGTACCCTCGGAGGGCAGTAAGCTGATTTTGACAGTAAGTAGTTCTGCTACGTGTTTCAGCATCACGTTTCTGAGTCCTTAGGTGAAATCAGTTCATCTCACTTGGTGTACTGGGAGTTCTTAGCACATTATTTGTTGGTTTAATAAAGGAGAATAAAGTACTTTTTCTCAAGTTGAGAGCTGTTTGATAGAATGACAAAAGAAGTGTCACACAATGTTCCAGAACCCTTCTCTCTGGAGACATTTGACATATGCAGGAGTGAGTCTGTTAGTGTAGCAGTGAAAGCCATCCATCCTAAGTGACCTAGGGAAGGCATTTAAACACACACACACGAATGTCATAAAGTTGCTAGTTTGGGAAGACTGAATTGGCAGTAGTATCTAGGATGACTTGTAGTGAAAGCCTTTCAAAATAATTTGTCTGCTCCAGGTATGTCCTAGATGTGCTCGGCTATGAGGAGAGTGGAATGAGTAAGAGACCCTGGTGGGAGCAGCTGGAGCAGGGCTCTGCAGGCCAGCAGTGGTGTGTAGCAGTCAACTCTCACTTGCAGACCACAGCATTCTGTGAGTTGTGTTATTAGGGGGAAAAAGAAAAGGAAAAAGACATCTAGCACCAGAAAGGAGTACTGACTTTACTCCTCTATGCTAAACCCTGAAACAAACCGAGTGTGCGTTCCTTTTCACAGAATGGAAGTGCCATTCTGATCCAGTGGGGTTGTGTGTGAGTGTGCAGGGAGGGAATAAAAGTTGTCACTCTTGGGGCTGGAGAGATGGCTCTGCTGTTAAGAACACTGGCTGTTTTTGCAGAAGACCTGTGTTTGAATCCCAGCACCCACGTGGCCACTAACAACTGTCTGTAACTCCAGTTCCAGGAGATCCGACAGCCTCTTCTGTCTTCTGCGGGCATTGCACAACACGGGTGCACTTACCTACACACAGGCAGTACACACATACACATAAAATAAAAAAAAAATTGTTGCTCTGTGCAGAGGTAGCAAACTCTCTTTGAGTATGAGTTAGTGAGAGAGGGAGGAAAACTGGAGATGGTAACATTGTTCGGTGAAGGGGATATGGGTTGGTGGGGATGCCACGACACTTGCTGCCAGTGATACACACGTATTACCCAAGTTTCATATTAAAACATTTACTTAGACATATAAAAAGAAAAAAAGAACTGAGGACCAAATATACTTCATTTTACATATTTGACATGTTTGTGTGTCATTTAGTGATGGAAAGAAATACAATTCGAATACCCCACATTTATGATGTACCTTTCAGTTACTCTGATGGTAGAGCAGGCACAATTAAAAAGTATTCCTGGTGCACTGTCTGGAAGTAGCACAGATAAGGTGCATTTGTTGAGTGAGATATATTGCAAAAGTGAATGTTCTAAGATTCCAAACATGAGTAGAAGTTACAGCTTTTAGACTATGGATGAATGAGGGACAGGAACGGGACTAGAACATAGATAGCACTGTCCAGTATGTAATACGAGGAGCGCAGCAACTTGAGAGCGTCTAGTAGCTGTGTTAACCAGGGAATCTCATAACTTTATTCTGTTGAACCCATTATACTCCATATAACAGTTCAGCATTTAATAATGTAAAAGGCATGAAGAGACATAGTTACTTAGTTTAATTTTTGGATTTCCTAGTGTTCTTACACTGACAGCCCATTTCTGTTCTGATGAGCCACTTTTCAAGCACATGACAGCTGCCTGTGGCCAGTGCTGCAGCACTGGACAGCACACTTCTGGACACCTTCCTTTATGCTTTTTGTTTTCTCTGATACCACACAGATAGCCATTAACAGCTTCTGATTGATAGCCCCAAGGGATTGATTATCTATAAATAATAAGTTAAATGTCATTTTGAGGAAGTTCAGAAATGAAAATCATAATTTTTAAAATACTTAATTGAGGCCAGGAGTGGTGACTCACACCTTTAATCCCAGCACTTAGGAGGCAGAGGCAGGCAGAACTCTGTGAGATCAAGCCAGCCTGGTCTACGTAGCAAGGTCCAGGCTAGCCCAGGCTTCAGGGAGACCTTGTCTCAAAAAGACACCCCCCCAATTAAAAAAAAAAAAAGCCTTGAATTGATTTATCCTTTTTTAAAAAAATGTGTATGAGTATGTGGCCTGCATGTTTGTAAGTACACCCTTGTGCAGTGCCCACATAGGTCAGGCGAAGGCTTCCAATCCCCCACAGCTGGAGTTACAGACAGTTGTTAGTCACCATGTGGGTGCTGGGAACTGAACCCACCCAGGTCCTCTGCAAGAGCAGCCAGTGCTCTTAACCACCCAGCCAGTTCTCTAGCCCCCGATTTATCCTTTTAAGGGTTCATAGGAGTTTAGAAACAAGATTTCAATTTTGCAGTGAGTGTATTTTGAAAGTCTAAGAAGGAGAGAAAGCAGGATGGTGCTGTGCACTAGGAAAGGATGGAATGGGAGTGGGTGCGTGAGGTTCCAGAACAGCTAGACGGTCAGGAGACCCGCAGCATTTGTCCATTGGAGAACGGGCTTATTAGTGCCTTAGAAAGGAAGAGCAGCTGGAGAGGCTGATGTGTTTGCCATCTGGTGGCCAGCTTGAGCCAGTGCCCTTGTCCATTGCTGGCATCTTCCTTAGCTTTTACTCTTTAATTTGAAATTGTTTTGTTTTTTTTCTTTTGAGGCGGTTCTCCCTTTAGCCCCAGCTGGGCTGGAACTTGCTATGTGCACTAGGCTGGTCTCGATTTTACTGAGATCCATCTGCCTCTTGCTTCCTAAGTGTTGGGTTAAAGGTGCACCCCACCATGCCCTGCTCCATTCTTAGTTTTAAATTCTTGGGCTTCTTTTGGGGAGATGGTAGGACTGGATATTTTCAGTTCATAATTATGTTTCATGGTCGCCGTGCAAAATACTGTTTTTCATGAACTTGATGGGAAAGGCTAAAATACATACATAGTGGGTAGGATGCAATTTACTTTCAAATGAAGAGGAATGTCTTCCAGGCATTTAAACAAATAGGCTGGTATACACAGGTTTATGTCCATCTGAGAATGAGAGTAAAGATGGCTTACAAACCTTTATGAAAATTGTGTTGTTTCTGTAGGGTGTGTCCTGATAAACAAACATACTCTCCTTCCCCAAGGAGGTGAGAGGCTTCCACTATGTAACACTGTCTTGCAAGCTTCTGTATATGGATGAGTGATGGCACTCTCCTGATTCTGTGATTGTGTTTCTAGTTTTTGCTCTTTATAAAAGTGATCATTGTATTCTCAGCCTCGCTTGGCATCTCTATATTTTAGTGTAGAAAGGATAAGCAGAATAAGATCTGCCACAAACAGGTGGTTATTGGTGAACTGCTTTGCTGAACGACAGACTTAAGAGAATTGGGAGAATAGTTAAGAAGCACTGGTGGGCCGGGCGTGGTGGCGCACGCCTTTAATCCCAGCACTCGGGAATCAGAGTCAGGCAGATCTCTGTGAGTTCAAGGCCAGCCTGGTCTACGTAGTGAGTTCCAGGTCAGCTGGGACTACAGGGAGACTCTTTCTTAAAAAGACCAAAGAAAAAAAAAAAGAAACAAAGAAAAGAAAGAAAGCAGCATTGGTGGGAATGTAAGCCCTGTATCCTGTAACCTGTTCAGTGCAGTGCTGTTGGTCTTTGCTGTCTTTTGAGACTTTTTCTTTTAATTTCAGAAAACAAAGCAGTTGGTGTGATGAAGTCGGGCCACGTGTTTACAATTGAGCCAATGATTTGTGAAGGTGAGTGCCAGGGTTATGGGCTTGTGCTCCTGTACCTGCATGTGACATTCTTGTTTCTCCTTAAATTTTTACTGGATTAAGAAATACTGTTTCTCTGAGAAAGGATTATCTGGATTGTCTTGAACTTCTGCAGCCTTGAGGGACAGTGAAGGAAATCGTGAGGAATATCCCTTAAATATTTATTCACTTCATAAAAATTTTTTTTTAATTGAGAGGAGGGGTCTGCAGCCTTGAGGGACAGTGAAGGAAATCGTGAGGAATATCCCTTAAATAAAGATTTATTCACTTTATAAAAAATTTTTTTTAATTGAGAGGAGGGGGAGAAAACGTGTGTGTGTGTGTGTGTGTGTGTGTGTGTGTGTGTGTGTGTGTGTGGGGTGCGTGTTGTGGCGTATATGTGGAGGTCAGGTGACTTGCTTCAGGTGACTTCCTTCTCTCTGCCATGTAGGTCCTGGGGATTGAAATCAGGTGAGCAGGTCTGGTGACAGGCACCTTACTCTTATGAGCCATCCTGTCAGCTCTTGGAGCAGTCATTGAATTTTTATTTAATTTCGGATGATCGTCAGGTTAGGAGTTGGTTCTACCTTCTTGCTTCATTCTCCCTGTTACATCTTGACTTGTATTTTGTAGAGAATTGGACATTGTACATGGTAAGTTTTTGGTTGTCAGCCAGTGGTAAAGTACTGGAATCTGGTCCCTCTTCAAGATCCTACCAAAGGATGCATTGTAATAATGAAGAGTCTATATCAGACTTCTGCAGAAGTTCTTGTTTGATGTTGAATAAAGAGCGCTTTTGTTTAGTCACCTACTTTGAGACAGACACAGTTGTAGGACTTAATTCTCCACTGTTTGTGAAGGTTTTAAGTCTGTTACACAGAGAAATAAACAGATCCTTTGAGAACATAACATGCCCAAATCACTGCCAGGCTCTCATGAGCCATCTGTCTCTTCATTGTCAACACTCGTGTTCTGTGGTATCATACAGCGCTCTGGAAAAGCACAGCATAGTCATACCATTCTGTTGTGGTTCTCTGTGACAGGCACATGGCAGTGATGGTGAGTTTCTTCTGAGCATGATCCATCCTGAGAGTGTCTGTCAGATATGCATCCTACCACTTTAGGACTATGGTGTCCTGAGCACTCTATAAGGATACCTTTTCTCTGAATCCTCCAGTCTTTGTTATTAACTTACAGTGAAATGGAAGGCAGTGGGAGGGTAGCTTTGGATCCCATAGTTTCACCAATTAGTTCCTGGTTGGAAGGACATAATTTAGTGTTTGCAGGAGTAAGTAAATAACTGTAGATTTGCTTCAGGTAATCTCAGATTGTAACGTAAACTTCACTATAATTCAACTATGTGAAATTCTAGGTCATTTATGGAGTCTCAGATCCAAAGAGGATTTCCTTAGGCTAATAGACATATTTTTCCCCAAACATTTTATTTGTTTATTGTGTATATGGGTGTGCATGTGCTATGGTGTCTATGTAGAGGTCAGAAGACACAACCTGTGGGGCTCAGTTTTCTCCTACCTTGTGGGTCTTGGGATTGAACTCAGGTCATCAGGCTTGGTGACAAGTACCTTTACCCACTGAGCCATCTCATCATCCCCCTAAAATATATCTTATTTGACTTAGAGAATTTGCTGTATCAGATAACAAAATTGAAGTAGTAGGATCTCCTCTAATCATTTGTGTATTGATCATTACACTGAAAAATACTTCTGGGCATGGTGGTGTATGCCTTTAATCCTAGCACTCAGGAGGCAGAGACAGAGGTAGGAGGATCTCTGTGAGATCAGGGCCAGCCTGGTCCACATAGCAAGTTCCAGGGGCTACAGGGAAACAGGGAAACCCTGCCTCAAAAAGAAAGAAAAAAAGAAAAATTCCTGTTTGCTATTGCTGCCTCATATTTTCTTCTTAGCCTGGGATTTAATGTTGCAAGTGTGTACCTGTACTATAGACATGAGCACTACTTCACCTGATGAAGAATGTACTGATTTTTTTTTTTAAGAATATTTATTTTATGTGTTAAGTATGTTTTGTCTGCCTGTATGTAAGTGCACAATGTGTATGCTGCAAATGCCAGAAAAGTGTGTTAGGAATCCTGAAACTGGGATTGCAGACTGTTGTGAGCTGCCTTGTGGATATTGGGAACTAAACCTATGTCCTCTGAAAAATCAGCCAGTACTCTTAACTGTTGAACTGTCTCTCAAGCCCCTGTACTGTTTCCTGGGTTTTGCTGTTGTTTTGTTTTGTTTAAGACAGGTTCTCACTATGTATCCCTGACTAGGCTGGAACTTGCTATATAGACCGCCTGGCCCTGAACTTACAGATATTCTTGTATTGATTTTTTTTTTTTTATTTAAATGTTGAGATCTAGTTTTGAAAAAGGAAAATTTCACCCAGGCATGGTGAAATTTAGGCTAGCCTGGTCTGCATAGCTATTTCCAGGCCAGCTTGGGGCTACAGAAAGACCCTGTCTCAAAAAGCAAGGGGGGGGTTGTCTTTTTCTAGAAATACATATGTTTACATTAGTCATTAGTATCCATGACTTCATTAGCCTTCTCATTCCTCCTGATTTAAGTTCTCTGTCCTTTTTTTTTTTTTTTTTTTTTTTTTTTTTTGGTCTTTTTGAGATAGTCTCCCTGTGGCCTGGCCTCGAACTCAAGAGATCCACCTGCCTCTGCCTCCTGAGTGCTGGGGTCTATTTTCAACTCTTCTCCAGTTCATTTTGCATTGTGTGTGTGTGTGTGTGTGTGTGTGTGTGTGTGTGTGTGTACGTACTTGCCTGCGCACATATTAGTGCACATGGATATGACGATTGGCAGTTAACCTCAAGTGCCATTCTCAGGAGTTGCCCAGTTTGGACTTTTAAAATTTATTTTCATTTTATGTGTCTGAGTATTTTACCTGCATATATGTAAGCATCATGCATGCAGTGCCCATGGAGGCCAGAAGGCATTGGATCTCTTGGAACTGGAGTTAACAGATGGTTGGTAGTTGCCATGTAGGTGCTCGGAACCAAACCTGGGTTCTTTGCCAGTTCTCCTAACCACTGAGCCATCTCTTCAGCCCCTGTCATTATATTTTTTCTTATCCCTTGAAAACTCTTCTTTTTCTTTGACCCTTTTTCTTTGGTTATAGAGTTTTTGTTTTTGTACACTTAACTCCTTCTTTACTTTGTACGCTGCTATACTTTCCTCAGTTATTCCAGGAAACTTTATCCATTCAAGTTTTTGCTCATAATTCTGTGATGAGTAGTATTAGTGTTCTAAAATGAAGTCTGATGCCTTTATTTGGAAATATCATCTTGACTTGATATTGAAAAATATCAGTATGCAATTGAGCAGTATGTTTGGAGAAACCTTGTCATCTCTTCATTGGTAGTGTCGACCACAGTAAAGCTGGGAGGGATCTTGATAGTGAACCTGACTAGTTTTCTCCTTAATTTCTGGAGAGTTTATTTAGAAAACTGAGTGACAATACTAAGAAGTTGTTTTTGTTTGTTTAAGGTGGATGGCAGGATGAAACCTGGCCAGATGGTTGGACAGCAGTAACGAGAGATGGAAAGCGGTCTGCTCAGTTTGAGCACACCCTGCTGGTCACGGACACTGGCTGTGAAATTCTCACCCGGAGACTTGATAGCTCGAGGCCTCATTTCATGTCCCAGTTTTAATTTCTCCCAAGACGCCACATCTTAGTAATACCTTTTTACTTTACTGTGCGTTTTATTGAAAGTACAGAAAAGAAGAATCTTTTTAAATCACTCGTTTTGTTTTGACCGTGATGAGAAAGGACTACAGCATTTGGTATGTGTCCTCAGGAGCTTGTCTTGGGTCTGAGAAAGCTGAGAAGAATAAAGGAAACATTTAATTTCTTCCAATTCCCTTGCCTTACCTCCTCAATTCTCTGTACCTGTATTTTCTTATTTGCCCCGTGAGCACTTTGACCTAAGTCTGCTTCTGATTGCTTTTATCCCAGTTACAAACCAGCCATCAAGAGCCAGCTGCTTCCCAGGTGGATGCCGAAGATGAGATTCCTTCAAACTTAGCAACATGTGTTGCTCCAGATTTTTTATTATATATAGATATATATGGAAATATATATGCATACCTTTTAAATTCCATCTATGTAATTACTGACCACTATGTTACTTTGGTTTGAGTTGATTATACTTTGACAAGTAACTGTCATAAGTGAATCCATAATTTGTAGTGACTTAATTCCTAGTTGGGAATTGTCCTCCTCCCTTTCCCAATGCTAATATTTACCTTGTATGTGTGTGTAGGGAAACACTCAGTGAGACTTCTCTCCAGTGTCGACTGTGCCCTTGAATGAATGGGAAGATTCACTTTGGGAGAATATCAGACTTTTTAAGGCCTGGTGTGTGGTAAAAGTAGCTGTGCTGCAGGTGGTGGCTGACGGCTGCAGAGCACCATTTCATGATACCCTGCTATTTCAGACCTCTGTTTGGTCAGCAGTGTGAGGGCAGAAGCCCCCTTTCTTCACCTCTTTTATTTCAAGGATGCACTTTGGAGGTACTCAGAGAAGGGTGTGGTTGTCCTGTGGCAGATGATGGGGAAGAGAGTTGCAGAGTATCTCTAATGTGAGCACAGTAACTTAGGTGGCTGTGAGAGTTTTAATGTGTGGTAAACTATCAGTCATAAGAAAGGAACTTGGAGCATCAGAAACCTGCAGTGGGGACAGAGCTGTCCTTGGTGTGTTGAAAATGCACCTCACCTATACATAACTGAGAGCCTCGTTAGAACTGATCTCAGTGCCCAGCATCTGTGCTCCTTTTAGTGGTTGTCCAAATAGGAATGTATCCAGTGAAGACAAACAAGACCATCAAGTTGTCATTAGTGTGTACTTGATTACTGGATATCTGATGACTTTTCTTGTAATATAATTTCATACCACTGACACATACTTGTAAGAGATCATCTTTCCCAGAGTGCCTCAGACCTTATTGCTTTAAGAGAATTATGATAATGCTTTCATGACTTTTATTTTAATGATTTAGTAAAGTGGCTGAATCTGGTGTAAACTTCTGGGGGTGTGTGAAGTTTTTATCATACTGCCATATTTGTGAATGGAATGCCTTGTTATAAGAATGTTAATATAATGTGTAAAGGGAGATTAAAAGTTTGAATGATTATCCCACTTAACGTAGTTGCATTTGTTGGGATTTCAGATGGGAATGGGGGCTGACTTCATAATATGACTCATGACTGTAGGGAGTATTTATCCCACTTAACGTAGTTGCATTTGTTGGGATTTCAGATGGGAATGGGGGGCTGACTTCATAATATAAGACTCATGACTGTAGGGAGTACAAGCACTTCAGATATAATGCCTTTATCATAACTGCAGAATTGTGCTTAATCCAGCAGCATGCCAGCACCATTTGAGATACAATTATATTTTTAAAGCCAAGAACACTATATATTTAGGGGAGCAATTTGTCTTATAGTGGAATTAGCACTGTGGTTATTAATTTACATCATTAGAAAATAAGCTCAGAGAACACAATTCTGGTATATTTTTGTGAAAAGAGACATTCTGGGGGGAATCCATTTTCTTGGTTTGGATTTTTATTTAAACAATCCAACCTCTAGTTTAATTACATATCTTTAATTAAGAATATTAAATTTAGCTGGGCATGGTGGCATATACTGTTAGTCCCAGCACTGGGGCAGCAGAGGCAGGCAGATCTCTGTGAGCTCAAGGCCAGCCTGGTCTACATAGTGAGTTCCAGGACAGCTGGGGCTGCAGAATACCCAACAAAAGCATCTTTAAGAGAGAAAGGTTAATTTTGGCTCATAGCTTGAAAGGGACAATCAATCTTGGATGAAGGATGAGGTAGTGCAGTGTGAAACATCTGTTCACACTGTGTCCTCAGCAAGCAAATGAATCCTGGTTCTCTACTGGCTTCTTTTCTCCTTTATTCAGTCCAGGACCCCGGCCCATGGGATGGTACCACCATTCTTCTCAGTTAACCCTCTATGGACATACTCAGACACTCATGAATGTATCTCTTAGGTGATTCTGAGTCTAGTCAAGTTGACAAACTAACCATCATGTTCTTTATCTTCATTTTATATTTTTTGCTGGTAAAATAGTTTAGAGCCTTTTCACCAACATTTATACTTGTCTCCCATGTGTTTATGTTGACAGGCAAGAGGAAACTTGGAATTTGCCATTGCTGGTTAATTCCTCAGTCTTCTCATCACCTCTAGTTTAGTTGAAATGGACACTAGAGTACTCTGTAAAGCTTCAGATACATGCCCACAGTGTATGGAAATGATTTCCATCTTTAAAAATTTTGTTCTTGGAGAGAAGACTCAGCACTCAGTACTTAGTGTGTATAGTCATTAGCCCAGAGTTTTGATCCCAGCACCCATGTAAAAGCCAGATCTGGTCCCAGCCATGGCTATAAGCCCAGTTATGTGGAAGGTAGAGAAGGATCTCAGGCTTGCTGACTGCCTGCCTAGCTGAAAAACAGGAGCTCCAGGTTCCACACCTGTGCCCTCCCAGCCATGGCTATAAGCCCAGTTATGTGGAAGGTAGAGAAGGATCTCAGGCTTGCTGACTGCCTGCCTAGCTGAAAAACAGGAGCTCCAGGTTCCACAAGATGTTGCCTGAAAGGAACAAGGCATAGTGATAGACACCTGTGCCCTCCTGGCCTCGGTGCAGGTATGCACATGTGCACATAAACCACATATTTTACACAAATTCTTCTTTTGAAATATTTCAAATAGACAGGGAAGTTGAGAGTACAGTGAAGTCATATTCCTTTACTTACATTCAGCTTTTAAAATTTTGACACCTTTGTTTCACTATTTACACATATATAAAGTACACATTTTTCCCTGTCTGGTCCCGGGGTTGAACCTAGGGCCTTGAACATGCTAGGCAATCACTTCACCACTGAGCTAGCACCTCTCCTGAAAAAAAAAAAAAGTGTCCTTTACTAGTTCAACCTGAATTTAAGGATAGTTGTGTTAGGGGTATAGCTTGGTAGTGGGGTGCCTGAGAGGCTTTGGGGGTTAATTCCCAGTAAGTACCCACCCCTCAACTAAAGGATATTCTGCAGGACCAAAATGTAATTATCACACCACAAAAGTTTTAACATGGGCAGTACTTATTTAAGGTATAATACACAAACTTCCTTTGTTTTTTCCCCAAAAGGAGCCTTTCATGTTCTAGTTCTTTTTACTGTAGAATAATTCTACTCTTTTCAGCATCTTATGAAGTCAACACTTGAAAAATCATGTCAGAGGATACATCCAGGAGAATCATTTTGACAGAATAACTGCGTAGGTGTGCTGTGTGTTCAATCAGTATATCCATAGGAATGTGTTTATTGTCACGATATTCATGATGCTGTTTGGCACTTTTCTATTTATTTATTTATTTATTTATTTATTTATTTATGGCTTTGAGACAGGGTCTCCCAGTAGCCTGAGCTGGCCTGAAACTCACTATGTAGACCAGGCTGGCCTTGAACTCACAGAGATCTGCCTGCCTCTGTCTCCCGAGTGCTGGGATTAAAGGCATGTGCCACCAGGTCCCACTCCTTTAACTTTTTTTAAACAAGTAGATTGGGAGGAGCTACTTGGAGATTATAGCACAATGAGTTTAGTATTCATTGATTATCCTTGCCCGAATGGCATTTGCCTTCCAAGTTGCAATTCCCAAGTCTAGCATCTCAGCTGCTTTATTAGCTGACATTCTACAAGACCCACTTTGCTCCCTTTAGCACCTCTCCCCCTTGAGTATTGGGCATATTGGCTCATACATTCTTTAAAACTAATTAGTAGTTGTTCCAGTGGAAACACCCGAGTCATTTTGAATGGTGAGTTTGAGAACGGCCTTGTTTTTGCTACAGTGAGATGTTCTAGGCTTACCATTTACATTTCCTGCCCACACCGGAGTCAGGCTTTCTTTAGAGCCTTGGCCACTTAGGGAATGATGTTGGGAAGTCAAGATCTGGAGTTTCCTTGGGGCCTAGTTGCTTCTAGGTGCCTTAAAAAAAAAAAAAAAAAAAAAAAAAAAAAAATTGGGGGCTGGAGAGATGGCTCAGTGGTTAAGAACACTGGTTGTTCTTGCAGAAGATGGGTAGAAGAATTGCAGAAGAATTCACTCAGATACATTTCAAATCAAACGCTAGTCTTCCTTCCCTGGCTCCATTTGTTATTTTGCTTGACAGCTTTTGGTTTCTGACCATATTAATTCTAAGGTTTTTAAAATGACTAGAATTACGCCAAAATCATTACCAAAACTAAGTACAAATTTTGTATTTTTCTTATTCTGAGAACATATCATTTGAAACAAATCCCTAAATTCTATGATCTAGGGATTCTTGAAAGTATGATCTTGTAAACTTGATTCCTTTGAAAGAGCCTACTGTACTTTCAGCCAGTAAATTGTTCATACTTGCTAAATTTAGGTGACAATGAAAACTAAATAAATTGGCCAGTATGTTAGTTACCTGCCTCACTGCTGTGACAAAGCAACTTAAAAGGTTTATTTTGGCTTGCAGTTTGAGGGTACTTCATAGAGAAGTCATGGTGGTAGGAGCATGAGGGAGCTTTGTCACACCGTGGCCAGTCAGGAAGTAGACAGCAAAGAGTGCATGCTCAGTTAGCTCTTTTTCATTCAGTGTAACTCCTCCATGGGATGGCACCACCACATTTTGGCTGGTTTTCCTACCCCAGTAGACCTCATCTAGAGAATCCCACAGAGGTGCAGAGATTTGTCTTCAAGGTAACTCCTGATCCTGTGAAGTTGATAATAACCATCATGGCCAGCTATGAGGATTGGACGAACATTACAATAGTATCTTGAAACTGCTTTTTACACAAAGTGAAATCTCCATATTCACATATATCTCCTCTAAGAAGTAAAGGGTTTTTTTTGTCCACAAAGGAATGGCAGCTGGATATGGCAGTGCAGGACAGTAACCCCAGCATGGGGTGTGGGGCAAGGAGGCAAGAGGCCATGAGTTTGAGGCCAGCCTGGCTACACAGTAACAGACTCATTACTGGTTCTGCCTTTCCTTTGCAGGAAGAAAATGAGACAAACAGCATACAAAAGAGAAGACACCTTACAAAGGCAGAAATTGTTTTTATTGTTTTAAAATATCCGTTAGTGAACAGGAATCGTTTATGTGGAAGGCTCAGAAAACAGACATGATAGCCTTGTCCTTGATTAGAGACACATAATTATACAATCTCTGTACTAGGTGCTGAAGGGCTACGAAGCTCTGAACTTTCTGCCTGTCTGCTCCTGTCAGATCACAGGAAAAAGTATAGGACGGACAGTTGTCTCTTAAATCTTGAGAACAGTTCGAATGCTGTTAAGAGAAGAAAGCAGTAAGTATATATTTTGAATGATGAACTTAAAAAAATCACGCATGTGTGTGTAGGTCAGGGGACAATGTGTGGGAGTTAGTTTTCTCCTTCCATCATGTGGGTCCCAGGGATTGAAGTCAGGTTGTGAGGCTTTGCAGCAGACCCTCTGAGCCATCTCAGTGGCCTGGAATGACTATGCTATTAGTTTTGCTCCTCCCTCCCCTGTAGGCCGCAACCCATTCATTACTACATTTT